GCTTCTGTCAACACATTTCTTCATCTGTAAAATGGGAATAATCATAGTATGTAGTTCATACCATTGTTGTAAAGATTAATTGAGGTCTAGTACAAAGTACTAAATGGTCACTAAGTGGCAGCTCTTCCCATTATGTAGAATGGGGGAAATTAGCAATTTTCCATTTCCAGATGTGGTTGGTATAATCTGAACATTTTTTCACCCTACAAAACGATAAAGATTTTTTAGAAGAATTATCCTACTGTTCCAAATTTTTTTAAAATTAAAACTCAACAAATATTTGAATTTTATCAAATGCCTTTCAGCATCCAAATGCTTTTTCTTATTTATTAATGGGATGTATTAGCTTAATACTTTTCTTCTAATATCTTAATAACTTCCCTAATATTAAGATAACCCCAGGATTCCTAAGAAAAACCCTACTTAGTTCTTTTAATCTACTGATAAATTCAAAGATAGACTTTCTTTTAAAATGCATTACAAGCTTCCTTGCCTCTTCAAGAATATATATACTAACCAGACTTTTATTACTCAACTCCATTTGTCTTCTGGGCTCCAACACTCAAGTGTCTTTAGAGGTCTCTGATTTTTTTCATAACAATAGCTAGTATTTACTGAGCACTTAGTATTAAACTTTTCACACAATGTTCATGACTTCCTTAAGGAGTGTGTCAGAAATGTGAAGGACCTTGGGACAAGGCCCTGGAGATGGAACTAGAGTTGTTCTTCATTGTTATGCTTTCATCCATTCATTTATTCATTCAACACATATTAAGCATCTCTGTGCTTGTAGTCTGTGTTAGGTATCAGTGGTAGGTACAGCCTTAAAAAACACAGACAGAATCCTCAGTCCAATAAGAGGAGACAGACAATAAACAAGTGAAGAAATAAACAAGATAAATACAAATTGTGACGAGAGCTATCATATGCTTTACATCACATACAGGATGATCTAACAGAGAGGGGAGGCTTACTTACTTACTTTATTTATTTATTTATTAGCTGAGCCATCCTGCCACCTGTTGGCAGCTCAGCGGCTGCTCAGTTCAGGCTGGGACTCGAACCGCTGTTGCTCAGAGCTCGCACTCTTGAGCAAGCTCTTAACCAACTTGGCCAGCCCTAGGAATGGCTTTTTTGAGGTGACATTCAAGCTGAGATAGAAGACTAAAGAAACTATAATTCTACACAAAGTTGGGAGAAGAGCATGTCAAGCTGAGTAAGCACCAAGTCCAAATACCCTGAGGCAAAATGCATGCAAAGTAACTTGATAAATCCTCAGAACAGATAGGGTCTTTCTGTGGTTAGGGTTAGGGAACTAAAGAGATAATACTAGGGAAGCCGATCAAGTGGAAGCCACTGAGGGCCTTTAAATAGGGAAGGAAAATGACATCTGAATTGCTTTTTCTTGAAAGAGCACCCTAGCTGCCATGGGCAAATAGATTAGAGAAGACTCAGAAAGAGACCACAGAGACAAGTTAAAAAGTTGTTGCAGTAATTCAGGTAAGAGATGGAGGTGAAAAAGATTAGGATGTAGTGATAGAGATGGAGAGAAGTAAATAGATTTGAGCTATACTTTGGAGGTAGAACTGATTTTTGGATTTTATGAAATGGATGAATCCTTGTTTTAAAAACAAGGTAATGCTATTTACTATGCTGGGGAAAATTAGGGGAAGGACTAGATTAGGTTGATACAATCAAGAGCTCCAGTTTGGACATATTAAATCTGATATGCCAGTTAGAACTCCCAAGTTAGAGATGTCTAATAAGTAGTTGGATATATGAGTTGGGGACTCAAAGGAGATCTACCCTATCGTGGAAATACAAATTTGAAGAGTATAAACATTTAGATGGTAGATGAAATCTTGCAGAGTGCCCGGAAATGAACCCTGAAATATCCCAACATTTAGAGGTCCTACGAGGAAGGAGTCAGAGAATGAGACAGATCACGGAAGCAGGAGGATAATTATGAGAATGTGGTTTCAAAGAGGCCAGTGAGAAAAGTATTTCATGAAAGACAGTGATGTCTATGTTGAATGGTGCTAACAGGTAAAAACAGATGAGTATAGAGAAGTGTTATTGGATTTGGCAAGATGAGATCATTGGTTTTCTTGGCAAGAGGAGAAGGGTGAACAGATTGGGGTGGATTGAAGAGGAAATAGAGGTGAGGAAATGGAGACCTCTAGTGTAGACAACTTGTTTTAGTTTTGTTACAAAGTGAATGAGATGATAGGATAAAGGGAAGGTCTTGTTTATTTTTAATATGGTGATGATCTAATAGAAGTAATTGATGATACAGCAAGAAAAAGTCCTAGAAAAGGCATGAAGGGGTGGGATCCATAGCACCAGGAGGGTTACCCTTTGATAAGGACAGACACATCTTTCATGGTATCAGGAAGATGGAAGAGAAGATAGGGACTGAGGGGCCAAAGGCTTGTCATCACAAAATGTGCCTTCTGGAATATTGATTTTTAAACTGGTTATTAAGAAACAAAAGGCTCAGAATGACCCTTTGATCATCCCCCTTCCTGCCTAAAGGAATTCAGATAGAAACTCTACTTAAAGGAATGATGCATCACCTTAGCATCATAATATAAACTAAATGTGGCAGACAGGGAAAAAAATCTAGCGAAGCCTGTTTGTTGAACTTCCTTCTGTGTCCCATTGTTTCTGGGTGGCCCAGCAATAATTTTTTTTTTTACCATGTTTACTCTTTCTCATCTACTTGTAAATTGCCTACTTTTCCTTTGAAATCTCAGACTCCTGCCCCACTTCTCCTTTGTTCAAAATGGCCTATAAATCTCAATTGTCCCATGAGTCTTCAGGTCTCATATCTTATGGCACCCTCAAACGTACGTAATAAATTTTGTACATTTTCTCCTATTCATCTGTCTCAAGTTAATCTAATTATTAGCTCAACCAGAAGAACTTAGGTGGGAGGAAAGTTATTTTTTGCACCCCCACAGTACAATCAAATTGGCTTGTAGCTTTCCAGTTGGACGAGAATGTTCCCCTCTGATTTTTATTTTCTCAGATATGACAAGAAGTCACTAGTTATGATGGAGTGAGAGAAAAATGTGCAGGAATTTGAAAAGAGAAGGTGTGAGATACACTATTTCTGGAAGTGGGAGAGTGAATTGACTAGGGAAATTCAGTAAGAGTGCCAGGAAAAAGCTAATGCCCTTATGAGGCTTGTGGTCAAGAATTTAAAGTGAAACCCTTGTTAAAGAAGATAAATTAATTGGGTCCAACTAGAATTGGAGTTTTACTAGGTGTGTATCATGGAGAAAGAGGAAAAGTTTTATGTGTTTGTAGGCAATCGTAATGCCTAAACTGTGTGACACAAGTCATGAATATAAGAATGTGAGAGATAGTGAAAAAGTAATACATTTAATGGCTTGGAGGTTTTGATGAAGTCAAAGAATCAGAGTTACTATGATGAGACAGTTGGGATTCTTGAACTAGAGATTTTAGAGATGAAATACTGGCAGTAACAAACACAAGAATGACCTGTGCGGCAGTCATGGGGGATGGAGTGGCTGATATAGGATGGAAGAAAAGATTGTTGGAGGTGAGGAGGTAAAGAATTGACAGAGTATTGGGTGATTATCCACATAGATGTTGGATAATGAACAGAAATAGAGGGAGAAAGGAAGACAATAAGCCATGAGCTAATACTGAGGGAGGAATGATCCACCAAAAGGTTCATAGATAACAGTAACCAGGCGAGGTATTAAGGAATATGGCTACTGCAGTTCAAAGAGGTCAGAGATTTTGAAGAGGACACTGCTCATTGGATGATTCCATATAGATATTTTAATATTGTAATTTTTTAAAAAGATTTTTATTGGGGAATTGGGGGGATGGGAACAGCGCTGGGGAATTGGGGAAGGGGAACAGACAAGTTGCTGTTGTTTTGTTCTTCAGTCTAGTTGTGGAGGAC